GGGGGGGGGATTGAAAGAGGAATAACAAAAATGAATGGTTTCGGTGTGCCCCTCATCTTTCTGTCCCTTTTGTAATTCTCAAAGTGTGCTCTTTTAGTTCGTAGTTATGTTACAATATTTTATATGGAGAGGGTAAAGAAGAATGAAAAAAAAAATTGAATGGGCCTTTTGGTGTGCCCCTCATCGTTGTCTTGTTTTTTCAAGTCTCCAGTTTGTTTCCTTACCTGCCCTGCCCAAAAAGGTCAGGTCTATCCATCAGGAAAAGGACCTGGCTCTTTTCCCGGTGTAAGTGCACTAGGGAGAGGCTGTTTGAAGCTCCTCCCTGGTTGTACTGTTACTGCTGAGGTCCAGCCTCAGCAATTCACCTTCCCCTAAGCCCGACCAGATTCAGAGCCAGCTCCCGGGCAGGTTGGCTGCACAAGGTGCAGCAAACCAGCTGAGAACCTGGCCCCTAAAGTGGTCAGGTGCATGCACAAAAAAAAGAATAAAACTGCAACTTGTTATATATCTATATATTATAGATATAGATACTAGGCTACCAGCCGGGCCGCCCGGGCCACCCTTTTTTCCTGGATGACCCGGCCATGCAAGGACCAGGGAAGGTCCCAGCAAAAAAAAAAAAAAAAAAAAAAAATCTAAAAAGAAGCCTATGTTATTCTGAAAAATAAACTGAACAACTTTTTTTTTCTTCTTATTCCCAAAAAGCAGCCGGGAACCGGGCCCGGCGTCCCTTATATTTCAAAAAGCCAGGAAATGGGCCTGGCATCCCTCACGAAAGGTAGGTGGCCCCATCGAAGGGCGAGACATCACCGGTCAAGCCCTAAGATCGGACCACTATCTTACTGCTAACCCTAAGATCCGTGAATGTTTTGTCAACAACAAAATACTAGCAAATTACTATTTCTAACACCAAGCCTGTGGAATCCTGTTCTCTATGTCTGCAATCCCGCAAACTTAATTTCCATTAGCTGCAAAACCCGATCGTCCAACCCTAATTTCCACTGTTTCAACCACACGGCAGG